GAGTATAGATTAGTTCATTGCCCTAAGTAGATAGACAGGTGGATAGGAAGTAGTGCCGGAAATACATTTTAGAGACCCTAGTTGTATACTGAGTCCTAAGATAGTAATATCTCAAACAACCGCAGTTCCCGCTTCCTTGATCCATCTAGATAGATGATCCCTTAATCTCGGGAAACCTGACAGCTGAAGCAATAATAGTAATATCGATTCTACTTTTGGCTGCTCATGACTCTGAACCCCACTACCTACTTCTAATAGAGTGCTAGCTCTGTTACAATCATACTACTTTGTAGGAAAGTAGTATTCTGATATATATTTCTCCGCGCGGGAAGAGGAATGTATCATGAATGACCCGGTCATCCATCAATCATTTCTATGCAGTGAAATCAACATCAAGATACACTGCATTCAATCCATGTTATCGACTCTCTCCGCTTGTAGAAACTATCTCCGACCGATCATAATTTATCTATTCCCTGCCGTGGCAGTTTGTGTTACCTTATGGAAGGGTCGAAGTTCGTGCTAGAGAAGAGTACTAGGGTGTTAGTGAGGGTTTAATAACCCCACTAAAACTCAATGCTCATCGATCGACATGGCTGACAGACGATCGTCGAGCTTAGCCGAGATCACTCTTTATTACTGTCATGTTGACATTGAGTTATGTCTACACCGTAGATGTTTAGGGTTAAATTAGAGGGGTTGAAAATGGGCACAATGCGCTAATCATTGCCGCTCATTCTCATGCGGGGGTGGGAGCTGATTTCTCATGGGCCATAACTATACAAAGAAACAGAGGATGATGACTTATGCGGAAGTGCGACAGTCTATGTAGGAAATAGAGAGTTGTTATTAATGGGAAGGAAACTTAACTCCGGATGCGATGTAACGAGAGTCATCCTACCGGATCACGTATTAACCTGTAAGTAGTGGTAGTAGATAGTATCTGTGTAATGAGCCAGTGGCAACCCTGCCAAGTAATACATACCTACAGTACCAATGCACTCAACCCATCGCATTCATCTCATCTCATCAGTCACCATATCATACAACTAATCTACACATGTAGTAATCAAAAATCCAACTCCTACCCAACCTCCCCCTCCCGTCAAGCCCAACCGATCGATCCAAAAATAACCTAAACATAACATGTATGTCTGACAAGGGGGCAGGGGGACGGCGGGCCAGGGGGACGGGGGTGCAGTTTTCCAAGACCCGCGAACGGAACATTTCTGGCCCCTCCCAGCGCGAGGAGATTCAGCCACAATATGCAGGGCACTTGATATGTATATGTATGTTATTATGCGGTGCACCCATGGCGTCCACATACATACATACATAGTAAACATATCTCTTTTATCCATTGAAACAAAAATAATGATGATGGGAACGGAGTAATCCGACAACATACATACATACATAACATACCTTACTTAGAAGACGGTGTGACAGCATGAAGTTATTTTTACTTATGTCGTATGTTTACGTGAAACATCACTATCACTAAACTCACCAACTAGAAGCGGGACATGCATACTCACAACATCCTACGGAATCCGAAGTCCCGACAGCTGGATGGATCAGATGTCTGTTAGTGAGTGAGATGCAGGTCTCGGAAAAACTCAATCAATGCATGCATCCATCCATCCATTCTTATTTTTTCTTCCTGCTACTAATCACATACCTATAGTAGCATCCATCTTAACCAACTAGGTAACTCTCAAATGATAGGTAATAATATACCCCGTAGCTATCTACCGAATACGAAGGAAGGATGTCGGTAAGTAGAGTCCTCCAAGCCCTACCATGCCATGCCATGCCATGCCACTTGCCTCGAGGAGAGCTCAATTCCTATTAGTAGATGATCCAAGACATGCAGCAAGTTAGCCCGGAGGTCTGATCATCTGTTGCTTCCTTAGTATTTCTTTTTCTTACTGTGCGCATGTAGAAAACATCTCATATCATCTCATGCCACTCTTCGTATAGAAGAAGCACCTAATCAATTTTATCACGATCACATACGAGTGGCATAGTAGTTACCTAATGATCCTAAAATTCGGAATTCTCGGTCTTCCATGAACCTTACCTATCTAACTATGTACCTAATTACACATCTTTATGCAGCATGCAGCATGCATTGTACCTACTTACCACATCTCATTCAACTATCAATCTCTACCTCATCTAAACCAGAAAGACAAAAAGAATGAAATGAGAAAAAAAAAAGAAAAAAAAAAAAAGGCTAATGATCTAACCGATGAGATCATCCTCATCCACTTACCTCTGACTCGTGGTTAGCCCTGTTTGACCATGATACAAAGTGGGCAATGGCAGACTTTTCTGGACTGGTTTGGTCAGTGGGGCTGGAATTCGGTAGTGGCTCTGAATCGGATCGGGGACCGCGGAGAATGAAATTTACGGGTGGGTAATGGCCCCACTATGGATGTGTTGTAAAGGAACTAACCATGTACCTTGTTTGAAGAGGGGGAAATGGATGTATCCTTCCTTGGAAGATGGTAAAGAAGATAGTCTACCACTGGGTTTGGAAGTCTCGGAGCTAGTTAGTTACTTAGTTAGCTTCTTTGTTTCTGCCTGAGCTAAACCTCTGGAGAAATGCCTTGGAATTGGCGCAATAGATCCCGAATTCAGTTACACTGGTGTCATCGTCTGCAACCATTGGATTCGAGTTGGAGGAAAAAGTCCTCTCGTCAATTTCACTTCAATAATCAGATCTTTTATCGTATACGTCATAAATACTGTATATACCAAGAAATAATATGCACCAGGCATCTGCCACCTCACGATCGAGCCATCAGTTCCACAAACTCCTCCCATTGGCTTCCAAAGCTCGCATAATAATCTGTATCCAGATGAGTGATGAAAATCTCATCTGCGACCTTGCGCACTTGCTTCACCAGGTCTCGGAATTTGTGCCCTTCCACGCTGTCCGGCACCGAGTGGACCACGGCGCACAGCTGGCTGCGAGTACTATTCGGGATCTCCTTAAACAGCTTAGCCCCTTGACGCTCCAAGAACGTCCCGTAGGTTGCCTCAAATACCACAGTCGAATCAGCCGTCGGCAAGTAGCGGGCATCAGGAATCGTGCCGGGATTGTGGACGACCTTGTTGGGACAGTCTCGTTAGCATGGAAAACTCTGGCCAATGGTGGGCGTCCATCCAGATCTATCCGGACGATCCAAACGACAGCTCTGAGTTAGAATGGTCGGCAGGAACAGGCGCCAGAGAACATGAGCTCCAATAAAAGTAAAAAAGGACCATGCATTGAGGGGGCAGCAAAAGGCAATGATCCAGTGGGCGGAAATGCCAGCTGCCGAAATTTGGTAATCGTGTAAATTACCCGGCGTTACCCCTAGTAATGAAATAATGAAAAAACGGGAGAGACTTCTGCACGTACATAATGGTCCGGACCCAGGCCGGCGGTCGTCTTCACGACAGCAGTCAGATCTTGGAGGTAGGCCAAGGTATTGTTTTCGTATTGCTGGGGTGTTTCGTCGAAAAATATACCCCGAACCGCTAGATTGGGGTTCGAACTGTTGGTCGGCCACGCCGCATAGGTCTCAATGTCCCGCCGCACCAACGAGAAGTTGCGCTGCGCGTACGTGGTAGCAACATAGCCCAGTAGGCGCACATTGCCATAAGACGCCAGCTTGGGTATCTCTCGTGTGTAATTGCCATCGGGCAAGGCGTTGGGCCCTGGACCACTACCAGGATTGACCACGACGGTGAAGTTGACGTCGGGATGAGAAGAGATCCTGTGGCGTTCAGCTGCGTCCTTCGTACATCAGGGTTACTTGTATCGTGCCGCGGGACATCCGGTGGCTGACAGATAGCGTGGGCATGGACTGGGAGTACAATGTGGTTGGCGGGGGGAAGGGGAAGGGGGAGGGGGTTTAACATTTGGCGAGGGCTTGTTGAGATATGGGGAAGGGGACAACAAAAGGAAAAGTAGCACCTACACCTTCTCTAAGGGATCCCATGCTCCCGGTGCAGGGTAGACGTAGAGCGGTACGAAAACTGACGCTTTAGGGCCCATGGTGAATTTGTGTAGGGTCAACACCACTGCTGGTGGTATGACGACGGCGAGCAGGGCAATGAATACAAGGATTGCCAGAATCAGTCGCGAGCGCCGGCTTTGCAGGCAGCGCCGGTCTCTCACGTGTTCCCCTTGCCCCATTCTGCTGGCTTTGAGAAGCTAACGATGTAATTTGAAACCGTGCGCGCCAAAGTTCGGGGGGTCGAAACGAGCTAGCAAGTGGGCTCCCTTTGGCCATAGCGGATTTGGACCAGAGTCGGCCGGGAGACTAACAATTAAGTAGTCATCAGCGTTTCCAAGCCTGTTCGCTGTTGGATAATGCGAGGTTAAACAATTGTAAGGAGGGCAGTGGAAAATTAAAAAAAAGGCGAAAGTAAGAGTATGGATGCGGCGCGCCCAAAATAGAGCGGGGCAGGGTTTCGACCATGCATCAGGTCTCGGATTAGCTGGAAAGAACAATTTCTCTTTTCCCTGGTCGAGAGCGCCTTCTCGTACCAATTGTACATCCTGCAGCTCCAGTGGAGGCGACCAGAGTTCGTTCGATGCCTCCCCCCCCCAGCGGAGGCGAAATCCGTTTTCGATGACCCAGTAAGCCTTCTAGGCCCCGTTCTCATACCGAAGCAGCAACCGCTGACAACATCGTCCACTCTCTTTATATTTGCTTTTTCTCCTTCTAGTTTCGCTCGTTTCTTTTTCCATTCTTTCCTTTTCCCTGTGCTTTTTCGGCTTTTTTTCAGAAGCCAGCCTTCCATATATTTCTTTTTGTCGCCGGTTCTGCATTTTACTGCATCCATTCGCTTATTCTGGTTATGATTCGTTGTAAATAAGCAAGTTACGGATCACGATATCTTCGCCTGACCTAGCGGGCCATATACAGCGGTTACATCGGCGCGCAAGTGGGAGGGCCTGTTGCTCGTTTTGAGGAAAAATATAAGATTTGGGAAACTCCTTTCTTTGGGTATCCCGTTCAAAGCCGAGTCACCTGCGGTCGTTAAATTCTCGTGGGAGAATAATATCTTTGTTTCGTTTCCTTGTTCTTGTTTGTCCAAGTGTTTCTTGTCCGCATCGCCCCCCAACGGTGCCTCATCCTTCGACCCTATCAGTTATGGAGAGCCCTCGACAATCCGATGCAAGCACTCCTGTGGAGCCTTGCTCCCCTGGTTGTGTGGACACACCGGCGACGCAATCTTCCGTGTTGTTTGATGGCAACCTGGAAGAATTGCTGCGCAACTTTCCCCTCGATCAGTACATCCTCGTCACAGGGGGTCTCGGGTTCATCGGCAGTCACACAACATTGGAGCTACTCAAGGCCGGCTATAATGTAATTGTGATCGACAATCTCAGCAACTCTTTCCAGAGTGTCTTCGACCGCATCAGGCAACTGGCGGCAAAGTACCATGACGAGCAGGGGACGTGCATGCCGTCGTTGCAGCTCCACGCCCATGATTTCCGGGATGTTGCTGCTCTTAGAGGCCTTCTTGAGCAGTATCAGATCCAATCCAGATGGGGTACTCCCAAGTCCAGGATTGGTGGCGTCATTCACTTTGCCGCTTATAAGGCCGTGGAAGAGAGTATCAAGAATCCTTTGAAGTATTACGCGAACAATGTTAGTGGCCTCATCGACTTTGCCACGACTTTGGGAGAATTTGGCATCAAAACTTTCATCTTCTCCTCCTCCGCCACCGTGTACGGAACCTTGGCAACATCGGGTCTTCCCTTGAAGGAAGAACTCTGTGTCCATAAAGAAGAGGTCTACAGTGATCAAGACGGTCAGGAGCAGACCGTCAGGCCTGGTTGCACGGGTATTACGAACCCGTATGGGCGCACCAAATGGATCTGTGAAGCGATATTAGCGGACCTTGCCGCCTCTGATCCAGAATGGACCATTGTAGCTCTACGCTATTTCAACCCTATAGGATGTGACGAGTCTGGGCTCCTTGGAGAGGATCCCAGGCAGACGCCCACGAACCTTCTCCCGGTTGTCGTAAAGGTTATGACCGGACAGTATAAGGAGCTGCAGATGTTTGGCACCGACTGGGACACCGAAGATGGCACTGCAGTTCGCGACTTCATCCATGTCACCGATCTTGCTAGGGGGCACATTGCTGCACTCAACGCCGCCAACGGTGGAAAGCTGGTTGAGAACTTCCGTACCTTCAACCTGGGAACCGGCCGGGGCCACTCCGTGATGGAAGTGGTCAACACAATGGAAGCAGTGTCTTCCAAGCCTATCCCGAGAAAGGCTGCTGGTCGCCGCGCTGGCGATGTTGGCTCCTGTGTCGCTGTGGCCACAAGGTCGCAGGACGAGCTTGAGTGGAAGACCGAAAAGTCCCTGAAGGATGCTTGCGTGAGCCTATGCAATTTCCTCAATGTTAGCGGTCTGTCCTCTTAGGCCGTATGCTTGTTTTCTGTTCATCATTGGCGCTTGGCGTGATTATATCTTCTTCCCGTGTCTCTTCCTCTCTTCAGGGGGAGCCCAAAATCAGGCTCCAGTCCTGACATCATTATTGTTTTCCTTATATCCATTTCGTTTTCGTTGCACTTTCGAATCTCGGCAGGTTCATAGTACCCTGTGGTTTTTGCATGATAGAGTCGGGTCCCCCACTTATGTCCATCCCCATAATGCATAGTGTATGTGTCATTGTACAATCTCATTATTAACCCATTTTGAAGCCATTAATTGTTCTTGTAATTCAAACTAGCAAATCACTCATGTTAGTTAATTTAGTGGGAGCATCTCAATTCTTGCGATTCAGATAGCCTCACCCAGCATAGGTTGATCGAAAACTGTCATCTGTAAAGACGGGTTTCAAGAGGCTTGCAGCATGGATGAGCTTTCACTCTAAAGGTAGAAAAAATGGCACTGTCCAAGATGTGCAAGAATGTAGTTGAGCCCAAGGGTCCTCTAGTATGAGTTCCGAGAGGTAAGCGGCGGGGGAGTGTCGAAAGACAGATCAAACAAGAAGGCGTCCCGGAGGAAGCTTAGTCACGCTGACCATCTTACCCCTCTGCGACTCATCAGCGATTCATTTCTTTGTTTACCAATAGATCATTTATCTGAATAGAATTGGAGACAAAAAACCATATGCAATAGCGAACCCAAAAGTCGCCGGTGCTGAGGAGCTAAATATTCCGCATGGAGGGCGATACGTGCAGAGAGACAGGAGACAACTAGCGCTGATGAGAGGTTCAAACAAGTCGTGAGCACCCTGTCAGACAAGCGATATCTGGATGATTGAGTGATTGCGCAGCTTGCCTTAGGCGATTCTGCAGCTACCAGTAGCATGCTCCGTTTGATGTGTGCACAGACGTTGATCCAACGCCACTGTTTGAAGGGCAGTCTGCATGCGTGATCTTGTGGAATAGCACAAGCTTTCGAAGACAAACCAATGATGTACCTACTACTGCAGTGCTCTGTGAGCCTGGGTCTCTTTGCGTCTCGAGTGGCCGGGGTATACTTCTGCCTACGGGGTAGGCAGCGGGAATGGCGCCAACATTAAAATATATCTGATGGTCCGGTATAGGGCAGGGTTTATCATTTTGCTACAACATGTAGTCCTATTGTCAAATTGAGGTTTCCAACAGGCTTTGATAGGCTTGATCTTTGACGAAAGGCCGTTGACTCGGTATTGCTATGATAGGAGACGCAACTGAATTTACGGAAAGAGGTACGTAATAAAGTAGGACATACTGCGTCAGTCCTGTACACATGCACTCTGCTTACGGCCGAACATTCTGCCCTAGATTACAACGTGCTAATTTGTTGAGTATCTGCTAGCCGAGTGGTTACTACTTGGTATATATATTCATCATGCCGAAGCAAGTATGAACTTGATATCTTCAATCAATTTGAGACCTTCATGATCAGATAGGCAAGAACGAATGCTTACCCGTAATGATAGCTTCTGATTCAACAATGAGACTAGAGAACCCAGATTATATAGAGTATCAAAGGTATAATGGTCTCGAGCGCTATTGGAAGTCGAGATATACCATATTGATACTGCCTTACCAAAAGTTGCACGTATATTGCATCATCATGTCAATAAACTCAAGCATAAGACCCCAAAGTTGTCAATTTGCAGTCAAAGAACGGCGCAAGACAGAATTTCCCCAAGAGCCCCAAGGGGGGTACTAAGGGTATAACCAGACTAAGCTGGTTCCCCAAACGGGTAATTGTAAACTATTCACATTGGATATTCGTTGCCTTAGGCCTCAACTACTCGTAACTTATATCACGTGATGAAGACCTTCATGAACAGGTACAATAGATGATTTCGTAATTGAGTGTCTTTGCTATAGTCCAAAATGAAGCTAATATGAATTCGTCCTCCAGATAAATGGTCACAACTTCTTCAAGGATTGTTGTATTCACCTTTGGCACACCTTGAAGCCACGTGATGTTTGGTTTTCTCGTAATATTAGCAATATCATGCGAACAAAATGCTGAGGCGAACTTGGAATACAAGACGCTCCACTCATCTAAAAGCAGATATCAAGTAATCCATGCGATCTTTACTTGCGGTCAGCTAATCTTCTAAAGTAGAACCATGAAGACATTCTTGACGTGAATCTCTCAGGATATCCATTCGGATCACGTGACACTTCACTCATGACCGGAGCACGCGCAGTGGCATCTGTGACACCTTTGACTTGAAATAGTCCGCTTGCTCAACTTTGTATTGATCATATATCCCAGACTTGTATTCACTGGTTATTTTCGAAAAAGACAGGTCACAGGAGACAGTATAAGCGTGGCTAACATGGGAATGCGGTTCAGCACAATATAAGCACGTGACCATACCTCCGGCTTGGCATCAAATTCCCGCCGCAGTTTTCTCGACAACTGCTCCGCGTCGGCCATCATACTTTAATCTCCAGCACTACGCTGATTCAAAAGCTGGCTGGGACTTGACCGCGGCAGTCATTTCGATTAATTTCAATTATACCCTCTTCTTCACAAGACAACACAAACACGCCACAATGATCTGCCAACGGTGCCGCACCGGTATCTTGTCCCGGCTACAGCAGCCCCAGACCGTTACGCTGTCTATCCCGTCACGCGCACGCCAATTTCCCATTCAGCGAAGCCAATTCCGCAACTACAGTGATGGAAAGCCTACCGTATCGGCTACTCCCCCTCCGCCAACCCCCCGTCAGCCTGCCGGCGCCGATATCACGATCCCGTCGGCCGTGTCGTCCGCCACCCCTGGCGTGTCCCAACCGTTGAGCACCCCGGAGGGTGTTCACGCTGATGTCAACCCCGAGAAGCCCAAGAAGGCTGCTGTGGAACGCCCCCCGAGCTCTTGCGCTGCTGGCCAGAAGATGAACGGACTCAACTACTTCAAGAACAAGCCCGACGTTGTGGCCCTGGAGGATGCGGAATACCCCGAATGGCTGTGGTCGTTGTTGGACGACTCCAAGAAGAACAAGACCGCAACGGGCGGTGTTGACCCGAGCAGTATGGAGCCCGTCATCGATAGAGTAGTGTTGTTTCCGTGTGATGGTCCGCTAATTTTGTCTTCCTATAGCCTTGAACAAGAAGCAGCGCAAGCGCTACGAGAAGAAGATGGCCGCCCGTGCCGCGACCCTGCCTCCCCAGATCCCCATCCACCATCACGCTACCGATATTACCCCTGCTGCATACAACGCCGATGCTATCCCCGCGGATGTGCTCGAAGCGGCTGCCGAGAGTCTCGACAAGCGTACCGAAATCAGACGGAGTGCCAGAGAGGCGCGGAGAAAGGGTATCCGGGAGGACAACTTCTTGCGCGGTCTCTAAATTTTATGCAGCAATTTGCGATTTGCTTGTGGGGAGGTCTTTGCTGGATGGGGTTGCAACATGTTGGCTGTGTACAGTGGTGGTGGCTGACGAGTGTAGAAATGCTTTTGTGGGATATGTTCAATGTATTCTATGCGACTTGTACTCATATTGATTCACCAGATCAGGCGCTGAATGGACTTTACTTTCGACATACAATTGAGACTTACCTTTAGGTCATAAGCTTGGGATTTGCCATTCGATATCAACTTGGATTCCCGGACTGCAACCATACCAAGCAGCCTGTCAACACAGTTGCGTGTGAATTCCTCGGCTCATATGTCTCCATATATGACCCCGAGTTAGATAAGAACAACTACTCCCCCCAGTCTCTTAAGCATGTCTTTCCAATTTCGACCCGGTGCAGTAGAGCGAGTTTGTGCGAGCAGCCATCGAAAGCGACCCGAGACTCAGAGTCCATTTGTCGCTAGGCTTGAGCACTAGTCCGAAGACGTAGATTGTTGGGACATATCCCTTCGTCTGCTGTCCAGATAGACGTGATATATTGTTTTCAGTCTACTGGTTAGCACTTTGACATCAAAATCGTAGGCGATTGCCAGCTAGAGAGCCCCGGGAACTCACTGCCGGCCAAGTAGCATAGCGACCAACTGGAGTAGCGCGCAATAAGCAGACTCAGATGTTAGCAAATTTGGTTTGAAGGTAGAATTGTGGATGCAATAGTATTTGTGGTGAATATCTGATTCCTCGGCATCTAGTTTGTGGCATATGCGGACCACGGTCGCATGTATTTTTTTTTTTTTTTTTTTGCAGCTTAACCGGAAGCGGGGTGAGGGAAATTTCGATCTCAGCCTTATGGACTGTGGAGATCTCAAGATGCACCCGTTGGTTAGATCCGATCTTATTCAGGGGACAAGCTTAATCGATCTTCTGCCTCATCATGTTGACTGTCCGGGACATAATGTTGAAGGAGAAAGAAAGATAATCTGGTCCCGAACGGAAATAGTAAGCTCTGGTACCTGAGGCAGGATATTGATGACATCACCGATCCATGGAATTCTTGGAGAAGGATATGATGAATGGCTTTGTTCTATTCTTTCCGGCGTGACGCAGCTTCGCTTTCATCGCTGCCCCAGCGTTGAACTGGCGCTCGGCTTACCTCAGAGATGATGTCCACTGCTAAAGGCAAGAAGAAAGCGATCTCGTGTTTTGCACTGGAGTTCAATCCTCATTGACAAGACCTGCCCCGCAGTGGAATTGGAATCACTCACCTTCCCAGCAACTTGTCACTGCCTGGGGACTACGAGATAGTATGTATGCCTGGGAACCCCTGAATCGGAACAGGCCAGGATCCATCTCAGCCTCCCACTCTCCTCCACCAGCTCAGCAGCAGCCTATGAAGTGTTGCAGATGATACAGTCACCGCCAACGAGCCCGTCCAAGTGTCCACGCGGATGTGGAGCTGGTTAAAACTCAGCGAACAAGGAAACAACACCTCTCTTCTACCTTCTCCATCTTTCTTTCATCCACTTCATTATCGGCAATCTCATCGCTACTACTTATAGAGAATCCCAACCCTTTGATTACCTTTCATCTTTAGCCTCACTTCCCGCTTATTCTCGGC